TAATAATTTCCACATTCTGTTGGGCCACCTTTCTTTGAAATGGATACAAATATGGATCTTTTTCTGTCGGTTGGCCAGGTAACTGTCTCCTAAGAAATAGAAATAGATAAGTGGTTCCAGGGCGACATCAGTTTTTAAAAACATTTCAATTTGGATCCCATCAATTCTGGGACCCTAGTTTTTTGCTAATGCCTTGAGTGCAGCTTGGGTATCTTCCTTCAATTCCATTCGTTGTTGCTCCTATTTACCTCTTGCAGTGGCTGAATGTCAACCAATTCTTTTTGGTACAGTGACTCTGTATTTCTTCCATCTTCTTCTGCTACTTCCTGTATCATGAGCCACATGGTTAATGATACAGGGGGTGGCAGGGAAGATGAGTATCAGGATTGGAGGAAGGCTCATGAACAACCTTTGATATGCAGATGTTACAACTTTGCTAGACAAAGAGAAGAGGACTTGAGAGACGCTTGCTGAGTAAGATCAAAGACTGCAGAATTCATTTTGCATTACAACTCATTGTAAAGAAAACCAAAATTCTCCCTACTCGGCCAAGAGACAACATCGTGGTACACAGAATTAAGATGGAAACTGTCAAGGATCTCATTTGACTTGGATGCCCAATCAATGCTCATAGGGATGTGCCTCTTTTAAAGTGCTAAAGAGCAAAGATGCCTTTTTGAGAACTAAGGTGGGCTGACTGGTAGGTTCAATTTTCTCATAGACATCGTGAAAACTTGACAACGAATACAGGAGATTCTAGAATGATGACGCATTTGATGTTGACAAAGAATATTGAGAGTACCATGGTCTACCAAAAGAACAAACAAGTCTTTCTTGGACAGTGGACAGGTCGAATGCTCCTTAGAAATGAGGATGGCAGTACTTCATCTCACAGACTTTGGAAATGGGCACCATGCTTGGCAGAGGCTCAGTGATGAAGAGGAAGACTCAGTGAGGGCTGCACACAGTCGCTGCAACCAGGGACTCCAACACAAGGACAGCAGGGAGCGACGAAGGCGCAGTCTGAGTAGGGTTACATTCTGTGTGACGCGGTCGTGATGAGCTGGCGCTGACCCAGAGGCACCCAAGAAAGCAACACACACCTGTCCAGCCACTGCCCATGAAAAAACATGCGCCATTCCCATCTCCCCAGCAGGGTCCCTTGGAAATTACCCCCACAAGGGCAACCACTCTTCCGACAGCTCTAGATTAGCCTAGCCTGCTCTTGAACTTCGTATCAGTAACATCATACAGTACATGCTCCGTTCTCTGTAACTTACTTCACTTTATATTCTCTTAGAGCAGGGGTGGGGAACATTGTGTCTGCCAAGGACCATTTGGATATTTATAATATTCACGGACCATGGATATTATATTTAATAAACTCAGCCCCTCGTGTGATGACTGGAATTGCTTCTCATTGATGAGGCATGTGATGTTAGCTGGTATAGAGGATTTTGTGGGCTGTGGGCCAGATGTTCACACCCCATCCCCATCTTAGGGATTCATTCTCCCCTTTGTGTGTATTAGCTGTTCATTTTTATTGATGTGCAGTATTACATTGTATGCTTATGATTTTTGTTACTGTTACTTTCCTCCAAGTTGATTCCAACTGAGAGTGGCCCCGTGGGTGTAGATTAGAACTTCCCCACAGGGTGTCTTGGTTGTGATCTTGATGGAAGCAGACCCTCCTGTCTGGTTGTTTTTTTTTTGGTGCAGGGGGTTGTGCTACCTAGGGTAAGTTAAGAACCTTTGCTACGATAAGAGAAACCTTTAGCAAACAAAATATCAAAATGCTAAGTACTGTTTCTTGATACTTTTTTTCTTCCACACATTTGAAGGTGATGTTTTCTCACCCTTCCCCGAAGAATTCGGTGTTCTTCGCTTCACATCGGGTCACAATGGAAGTTTGAGCACCGTTGCATAATGCAAATTTTACACCTTTTTAATGCTCTTTGAGACTTGGAAACAAAACCAAGTCTGCAGGGGCAAGATCAGGGATGTATGATGGATGGGGTGAAGGTTCCCAATGTATTTCTCACAGAACGGTCCTTGCTCCCCTAATGAAGGAGCAGGCATGTTGTCGTGATGCTACACTTCATCGGCGCCACTTTCCTGGTCTGTTTTGTAATCATGGCTGGCATTTTCAGTGTTCTTAAAATTTATTCATGGTAAGTCTCCATAACGGTTATATGTCTTTAAGGCAAATCTATCCATTTACTCCTTTTGGAATTCTGAAAAAAACAGTCACCTTCAGGTTCTGAGCTGACTTCTCTGCCCTGACATGAACTGGATCAGGTGTCCCCTTTGACGTCATTACTTTGACCAGCGTGTGCTCTCTGGGCCATAAGGCTAAATCCAAAACACATCCCTCGTTATCCTGTACTCCGTAAAACCATCTTCATGATCTTTGATCTTACTTAAAAGACTGGTAGGAGGTTCCGCTTTTTGAGTTAGAAGATCTTTCCACAACACCCTTGGCACCCACAGAACCAGCCGAGAGCTTGCTGATGTCAAGGTGTTGACGTAAAATTGAAAAGGCCCAACCATGTGAGACCCCATCTTCATCCATGATACCATCCATGCTAATTCTCTGCTTTCCCATCAGTTGCTGAACTCCAGCCACTGTTGCTTCATTTGTGAGCATGGACAGTCTTCTCTCTCTTGGCTCATCTTTGACGTCTTTCTGACCTTCCTTAAAAAGCCTGGTCCCTACAAAAGCCATTGATTTATGTGCGGCAGCATTCCTGTATCCTCGTGGCTTCCATGATTTGGCAAGAGAGCCACTTGAGTGTTTTCAAAAATTTGATATGCGCTCTGACCTCAAAATCATTTCCCTCCTCGTGGCACAAAAAAGAAGCTTACTTTTGAAGACACCCTAATGAGACTGAGACAAATGAATCACTAAGAGAGCTTGTCCGTGTCCAATCCCTGATTGCAGAGCCATGTCTAACCTGATTTTGTTTGGGATAAGCCTGTGCATGTATGAATTGGGACCCCCATAGCAATACCTTTGTTAGTTCCCCTGGTAATTGGGTAGCACCCTTATCCCCGTTCTGCATAGGAGAAAAGTAAAATGCAGAGGGGTAGGGTAGCTTGCCCAGGTTGATCTGATATGTAAGCCCAAAGTCCAGCATTTCTGCTTTCAACCATAAGTCATAAGTATCAATGGCCCTTATTCTATGAAGATGGAAGTACAGGAGATGTTGGGAGCTCAGAGAAGGGAATCAAGGGAAACTATCAGGGAATGTTTCATCAGACCCATGAGTCTCAGATGGAGATGTCCAGAGGGGCATAGAAACCCCAAAAAAACAAACTCACTGCCATCGAGTTGATGCTGACTCAGAGCAACCCTGTAGGAAAGGGCAGAAGGGCCCGTCTTTACAGGAGTAGAATATCCCGTCTTTCTCCTAAGAAGCAGCTGGTGGTTTTGAATACTCATCTTGCAGTTAGCAGCCCAATGCGCAACCACTATGCTGGCAGGGCACCTAGGAGAGGGGCCTAGGAGGGATCATAATCGATCGAAGCAGGTGACCTCTGAGATACCAGTAATGGAGGCAAAGGAGACAGTAGTAGGGAGTGGCGGAGACTGTGGCCAATGGGCAAGTGCCAACCTGTGAAGGAGGGCACTGCCAGTGCAGCAGTGTGCTGAAACTGTGCATGTGACCGTGTGACAATGCCAGCAGGGATTTTGATGATCCAGAATGCAGCAGGACTGCCAGCTGACTCTGGTGGGCAACTTCTACTCTCCAAGGTCAATGCCCAATGGTCCCTGTGAGCCCATCATTTGAATATCACTCTAGTGTTGGTGGGTGTCCCTCCTATTGGCCAAGAAATTCTGACGGTCAATGCTGTAAAGTAAATTCTCCTGGTCCTGAAAGGTTGCTCCAAATTTCATTGGAGACCCACTCAGGCATTCTGGACTAGGCTTGGCTGATCTTAGCTCCAAGACAGATGGGTGAGCCCAAGGGGCCAGGTGAGTTTCAGGTGGAAGGCACAGCACAAGGGCCACAGGGGAGAGCGAGTTGAATCCAGGGCTGAGTTTCCTACACCCCAATGAGAGGCTAGAGCAAAGCCTGGCACGGTGGGACAGGGCGTGGGCCGGGCTGGAGTCTGCACTTGGTTGTCGCGCACGCACTGATGGGTGCTTTGCTCTTCCCTGCCACCCCTGCAGATCCTAGAAGAGAACATGAAGCTGGAGTGCAAGTGCCACGGCGTCTCCGGCTCTTGCACCACCAAGACCTGCTGGACCACACTGCCACACTTCCGGGAGCTCGGCTACGTGCTCAAGGACAAGTACAACGAGGCCGTGCACGTGGAGCCAGTGCGAGCCAGCCGCAATAAGCGGCCCACCTTCCTGAAAATCAAGAAGCCGCTGTCTTACCGCAAGCCCATGGACACAGACCTGGTGTACATTGAGAAATCACCCAACTACTGCGAGGAGGACCCAGTAACAGGGAGCGTGGGCACCCAGGGCCGCGCCTGCAACAAGACGGCCCTCCAGGCCAGTGGGTGTGACCTCATGTGCTGTGGCCGCGGCTACAACACTCACCAGTACGCCCGTGTGTGGCAGTGCAACTGTAAGTTCCACTGGTGCTGCTATGTCAAGTGCAACACGTGCAGCGAGCGCACTGAGGTGTACACGTGCAAGTGATCCCAAGCCCCGCCACACTCCCTGCAGCCGCCAGCCGCAGGGTCGACTTCAGGGAGGACCGTGTCGCCTTCAGTCTGGAATCACCCTGGCAGGCGCTTCCAAGACCTTCACAGGGTACCCCAGGAGCACGGAGGCTGTCTTTACTCTGCGGAGGGCGCCTCTCCTCGGCTTCTCCCAGGCCCCTGTGGAAACCCTCTCCAGGGTCCTGGACTGTTCCATGACACGCCCACATGCTGCTCCACCCCGCCCCAGACACTGCCCTGGACAGCAGGAGCTCTGGACCCCTGGACCTCAGCGTCGTAATATTTAACAGTTTATTCTGATAGAAATAATATTAATTTATTTAATTAAAAAGGATTCTTTCACCTCATCAGGATCCCTTTTCTGCAATCAAAGTGGACTGCTTGCTTTCCTTGTGGGATCCCCCGTGTCTGCTTGTCACTAGACAAGGAGCCAAGTGGAACTGTCCCTAATGACTCTTCCTGCCTACATCTCGACTAGTCGGCTTTGCAAGTATCCTTTGTAGCACTAGATGTTCCAGGACAAAAGCGGACGCCCTTTATATATACCTGTATAGACATAGACATAGAGAGATACACACATTTATATTTTTGGCTGTTTGCTGCTACATATCCGGAAAGCTAAGCTGGTCCCAGTTTGGAGTTCTTTCCCAGAATAAATGTCCAGTACTTTTTTTGTGCAGTACTTTTGCCCTTCCCAATGCAAACTCACCATTAGAAAAGTTCAGTTTGGGATTGCGGAGATATGTATGTGTGTGTGTGTATATATATGAGAGAGAGAGAGAGAGATGCTGGGGAGGGAGGGAGGGAGTGAGAGAGAGCGAGCAGCAGCGTTCATCCTTTTGGAAGTGAGCCATGGATCAGAGAGAATATTTTCGAAGAGACTATTTTTTATATGCATATTTTATTTATATTAAGTCTGCCTGTCTCATTCCCCGGTCCAGCTTCTTCACGCTTGCCCTTGCTTTGAAGGGAGGAGGGTTAGGCTGGGAGTGATGTCCGGCGCACGGGGACCCCTCCCGGAGTCTCACGCAGCCAGGCTCTGGAGTTGCTTGACCATGTGAACAGAAACCTTCGTGTTAATGAGGAAAGACATAGACCCTTTTCCCTCTCAGCCTGCGAAGCCTGAACCTCCTGAGCAGGGCACTGACCTTATGTGGCTGCATGACGTAGGCACTGTACGATCCTCATCAGGACTTGAGCCTTGTCACTAGGCAGAGGTGGGTCAGGGAGCTCTACTCCTTAGTAGAGCCTGGTGTGCCTCAGGAGGTTGAGAAGTAGTGGGAGGGGCCTCGAGACTCAGCCACCAGCCCCAGCAGGGTTTCTTGGACCATGCGGTCACTGGGTCAGACCCAGACCAGCACAGAGGAAGTGTGGAGGAGGCTGGAGAGCATGTGCCTCTCTCTGCTGACTGCTGCCCTGTCAGCACCCCTCTGTCTGGAAAGCCCTCCTCTGGGAGGCAGTGGGTGTTCTGATAGGTCTGTGCTTGCATTTCTCTGTGTGTGCTTACGTGTGTGAGAGAGGGAGATGTTAGGGAGTATTGGAGTAGTCGTGTGACTTTGTGCCTTCAAGCACCTCTGGTCGGCTATGTACATGCTTACCTATATCAATTTCTGTGTGCTCGGACATCTGTGTGTCTCTCTCCATGTGCCAGGTAGTTTAGGAGTGTCTGTGCATCCACTGGCCCAAAGGTATCTTGGAAGTATCTGTGCTTACAAGGGAGGACTTCCGGAGTAGACAAATAGTAGAGGTCCTCTGCAATTGTGTGGAGCTACCCAAGTGATGGCGTCTCCGGATTTTGTCCTTATAGCTGCTGGTAAAACTCAGAAACCTAGAAACCACAGCCCAGGACCCCCCATGAGCTAGGAGCCCCTCTGAGTCAAGATTATATCTGACTCTCCATTTTCAGCACTGGGCCAGGTCACAGCTTGGCCAAATAAAAGTTAGCTGAATGGTTGATTGGTTTCTTCCTTTGTTTCTTCATTGTTTTTGTGTTTCCTTTGGTGCCTGGATGGGTGGGTATGGGATGGAACAATAGATTCGATATATGGATGAATAGATAGATGAATTGATGGATAGATCGATGGGTGGATATTGGATGGATGGATAGTTATATGGTGGGTAGATAAATGAATAGATGAGTGGGTGGATAAGTCAATGGGTGAATGGGTAGATGGATAAAGGATGAATGAGTGGGTGGATAGATTGGTGGATGGATGGATAGATGGGTAGATGAGGAAAAGGGTAGAGGAGTGGATGGATAAGTTAAAAGTAGACAGGCAGGGATTTCCAGAAGCCCCTCCCCACACCTCATATTTCATTGTTACCTTGGAAAATCTCCAACATCTTCTGTGAATGGGGGACACTTTCCAAATCTCTAGCTTTTCTCCTCCTGACCTTGTTGACACTTGGGAATGAAGGCGGTTCTGATCCATTGTCTCAGGCTGGCTCCCAAGAGAAGCAAAACCGGTGAATCACAGACACAGACACGTACCACGAAAATGCTCGCACAGTTGTAGAAGCAGGCAAGTCCAAGTCCAGGCAGGTTCTAAGCCAGTGGCTCTGATGTTGGGCTGAAGGTTTCTCCCATCTCTCATAGCTTCATGTGCTTATCAGTAGGAAGATCACAGGTTGGTGGCCAAAGAAGTGAGTAAATCCAAGGTCAGCAGGTCAGGTTTGTGGCTACAAAGGTGAATGTCCCCAAGGTCGGCAGATCAGATGGAAGGATGCTCACAACCACCAGGCTGGGCCAGCAATACAGCAGGCCATTGGCTCAAATCCAACACAAAAACACAAAACAAAGATCAAATTGATGAGTCAAATGCAGCTACCAGACCCCAGAAAGAGCAAGCAAGCTTTTCCACAGTGTCCTTGTATATTGGAAGCAGAGGAAATTACCTTTCAATTGATTGCATCAGGGCTGTGATCTGAGAGGGAATATTGCTTCCCATCCTAATCTTCAAGCAGATCCTGTTATGGTGGTAATTACATTGTATTAATCACATGATAGGGAATTACTAGGTTTTAACGGTCAAGTCGTTGAGAATCTTGGGCCAGTCAAGTTGACACAAAACCTAACTACTACAACAACCCCCCAAGATGACCATTTACATAAATATGGTATCAGAAAAATCACCACAATGCCCTCTTTTACTATTTACATGGAGTAGACAGCCTGCCCTATAAGAAGAATGGCCAAGTTAGGCACCTGGCCCCTCAGGATACTGCTGGTCCTCAGCCCTGAGTCCTGCCCTCTATCTGAACAGCCCAGCCCAGTCATGGCTCTGTATGCTGCTCCAGTTTGTGCTCTGGGCATCTGTTTCCCCAACTGTAAATTCAGGATAATGCTTACTACCTGTCTCACAGAGCTATCATGAGACTCTTCCCAGTAAAGGTTGTATGGCACTTTTGTGTTGTGGAAAAAAAAAAAAGGATGAATGATAATTATTATTCTTGATTATTATGATCGACATGATGATTATAACCCCCACAATAAAATGTGGCCTATAGTAATAAATATTTGACCATGTATTTGGCAAAAGTATTTTCTCCCCTTTGGTTTATTCTTAAAGTGACTTTTCAACAAAATTCACTCAATTGCCATTGAGTAGATTCTGACTCACAGCACCTTATAGAAGGGTTGCCCCTTTGAGTTTCCAAGATTGGAACTATTACGGAGTCGAAGTCTTCATCGTTCTCCCTCAATCCGCCCCCAATACTAATTAACACTGTTGTTGTCAGGTGCCGTTGAGTCAGTTCTAATTCATATCAACCCTGTGCACAACAGAACAGAACCCTACCTGGTCCTGTGCCACCCTCACAATTGTTTCTATGCCTGAGCCCGTTGTTTTAGTCACTGTGTGTTAGTCTGGGTAGACTAGAGGAACAAATTCATAGACACTCATGTGTATAAGAAAGAGATGTATATATATAAGAGCAATTGTATATTGAGAAAACATCCCAGCCCAGTCCAGATCAAGTCCATCAGCCCGATATTAGCCCATATGTCCAATACTAGTCCATAAATTCCTCTTTAGACTCACACAGCCATACAATAATGCCAAATGCAGGAAGATCACAGGCCAGCGGGTGGAAAGTCTTGTGGATCCAGTGGCTGTAGAAGCATCTCAGCACTGGCAGGGATCTCCTCGTGGATCCAACAGTTACCAGGGCTCTGGCTGCATCATCACAGCTCCATGTGGCTTGTCGTCAGGAATGTCTTACAGGGAGTGAGCATGTGTCCCGCCTCCAGCGAGCCATTTATCTCCTTGATACTGTTCTCTCCTCCAAATGAGGTCATCAAGCTGTGACCTGATTGACAGGCTAAACTCCACCCCATCACTCAAGTCTCAAATTGACAACAGATGATGTAACTACCGCACCGAGTCAATCCATTTCATTAAGGGCCTTTCTCTCTGCCACTGCCCCTCTACTTTACCGGTCATTCTCCAGGGACCGGTCTCTCCTCACATTACAACACCAAAACCAAAAGCAAAAAAACATCACTACCATCGAGTCAATGCTGACTCATAGCGACCCTCTGTGTGTTTCTGAGACCATAACTGTTTACAGGAGTAGAAAGCCCAATCTTCCTCCTGCAGAGCTGCTGGTGGTTTCAAACTGCCAACGATGGGGATTGCAGCCCATCACAAAACCACTACACCACCAGGGCCGTACCTACAAACATTAGAAAGACCTGAATCTTAATATGCTAAATTGAAGTATCAGAAAGCCCAGAACTGGAGCATTGAAAATGCAGGCAGGTAACGACCATGACAAGTATGCTAGATAGGTACCTTAGTTTAACATTTTTTTTTTATTATTTGTGCATTTTTAATAGACTTTATGTTTTACAGTAGTTTCAGGTTTACAGAAATCTTGTGCAGAAAGAGTTTCTTTTAAAAAAAGCATTTTATTGGCATATAATTCACATATCATAAAATTCAATAGTTCAATCACATTAAGAAGAGTGGTTCAGCTGTCACCACAATCAATTTTAGAACATTTTCTTCTTTCTTATACTTCGTGTTGTTAGTTCACACTCTCCCCTGCCATGTCCCTAGGTAATTATTAATTCAGTTACTGACGCTATAGATTTACCTGAATTTCATAGGCAGGAAAAAACATATGAGATGAAATCAAGAGACAACAACTAAAAGCACTCAACAATAATGGCAAAATAAAGCAGAAAAAACTCAATTGAAAAGAAAGCATACAACTTTGAAAACTGGAACAAATTTGAAAAGGACCATAAACAACAACAGAACACACACACACACACATTCACTGCTATAGTGTCAATTCAGACTCATGGTGACCCTATAGATCAAATGGCGAGGTGTTACATTTTAACCTAACTGCATCAGCCATAATCAACTGCACAGTGCTCTCTATCTGATAGTAAGGCTATCTCTGGCCTAATTCTTGGGGAGGCCCTGCAAATGTATTTTGGGTTTCCACTGTCATCCATAGCATTCTGAAAACTGGGTGTTCAGAATTTGAGCTTTGATACTGTTCTCTCCTCCAGATTTGGATTTTAATATTTATAATCCTCGGGTCACACAGGCTGGTGTGCTTCTCCATGGGAACTTAGTTGATGCCTCATTTAGATGGCTGCTTGTTTTGAGACCAGCTTTTAAAATCTGAGGCACTATTCTTTCTGATAGCCTAGCAC